GGAGTCTTATACACTGCTGGTGGGACTGTAAAATGATACAATCACTGTGGAAAGCAGTTGGAACCACCAACCTTCTGGTTAGCAGTCAGATGCCTTAAGCACTGTGCTACCAGAGCTCCTTGGAAATCAGTATTACGATGCCTTAAGAAGTTGGAAATATAAATACCATTTGATCCAGCAATCCTGTTACTAACTATATATCCTAAAGAAGTGACAGCCAAGACACAAACAGACATATGCACACCGATGTTCATCACAGCACTATTCACAATAGCAAAGAGATGGAAACAACCAAAGTGCCATCAACATAAGAAAGAAAGAACCAAATTACAGTACATATACACAATGGAATATTATGCAACACTAAAGAATAATGTAGACTCTGTGAAACATCATATAACATGGATGAACTTGGAGAACATTATGCTGAGTGAAATAAGTCAATCACAGAAGGACAAATATTGTATTAGTCCACTATTATAAAAAGTTAAGGAAAATATGTTGGTTATCAAGGATGGGAGCAAAGGGGAGGAAACACTGCTAGATAGGTAGAGACAAGTATTAACTTGGAAGACAGAATAGTAACGTACCAAAAATAAGTGATCGACATGGTGGCAGTGAGGAAGAAGACACTTAAGACACAAGAGGTATAGACAACAAAGATAAACCTTTTACATTACAACACTATGTTGTCAGTGATAACAAAGACTGATCTACAGGTAAATAGATGGGTAGACAGGCTGAATGATCAGGTATGTCTAGGCAAAAAGGAATATACCCATGACCATATATAAGGTTGGCGGATGATATTTCTACATACATATTTGTATATGCTATAAAAATGTCCAAATATTTAACAGAGTTAACAAGAGGCAAAGTTATGATAACTTCTTTGCCACAACCAACCACCCAGAGGGAACGAGTAGCTAGACCTGTGGGATCGGGACCATGGTCAAGGGGACATCAAGCTCAACTGGCATAACATACTACACATAAACATCATACTATATCCTGGTTTGCTGAGTAGCGACTGGGGTCTTAAAAGCTTTCAAGCAACCATCTAAATGCAACATAGGGTCTCTCCTCGTCTGGATCAAAGAAAAATGAAGAAAGCCAAAGAT